CACACTCGATAACCCAGAAGATTTTCTGTTTTTGGCCCGAGGTACTTCCGAAAGTTTAGGAAAAGTTTTCAAATTAATATTATTTTTCCATGGAAAACTTTTTGCGCCATTTTGTTTCAAAATTTTTTTCTTAAACTTGCGGAAGTACCCCGGGTCAAAAATAGAAAATCTTCTGGGTTATCGAGTGTGCTGAATACGAAAAAACACTTCTCAGCAACTCTAAACCAACTTTATTTTTTTTGTTCCGGTGATATGCGAAAAGAGATCGGTTAGTTATTTTCATTCTGGCATAAACTAGGAGAATTAGAATCTATAACCATTCAGAGAAGGGCGCAAACACATAATTTCTCATGTTAAATGCTGACCTTCTTTGTCATAATCGTCGGGTAATTATTTATAAATTTAAGGAGACATAAATAATATATTTAGTAAACTTGTTTGTGTTTAGGTTGTTTTATGATGAAAAATGTGAAAGCAGGATGTTTTAGAAAAAGACCAAACAATGAAACGACGATACGCCGTGTCGATGATAGTAAACAAAGTACTGTTCGCGCTATTTATCAGGGAGTAGCTCATGAAAACGAACATAATAAATGTAGTCGTCAATGGACAAATGATCTATAATTATGACAGTTTTTTTATTATTACAATGTCAGATATTCGAATTGTTTTCATGAGTCTTACTCATGTACATGTACTAGTAAGTTAGACAACGTGTTCGCTTATTCCTTGAGATTGTACAGGTTAACTTTATGTTTTTTTCTTCGGATGTTGTATCTCGGTTCTTTTTGCAATTGTTGTCTTCATTATAATGATGAAAATCAGTAACTGTTGGCGAAAATGACAAGAAATCGGCTGATACATCAAAAAATCATTTGAACTACTCGTGCCTGTTAATTATCGAATACCAAGTAAACATATATTAATACCAATGGCAAAACCCATCCAATCAAATTGAACACTACCTAGGTCAAACGACGACTTATAACTGCTTTAGGTAACTTGATCTCTACTCTACAGATCTTTTTTTTATTGCACTGTTCCAAACTTTCAGAACTTAAGATCCTAATGTGAATAGAATCTAAAATAAAAATTGCTGCTCTAACCGTTGAAGCATTGGAAAATTATGGGTAATGCAAAGGTACTTGTCATACTACATGCAGTAGATAACTTAGTGCTAAACGAATGTAAGCATTTCACCTTGCAAATGAGGGATGATGAGTTTATGATATGCATTTCAAATGAAAATTGCTTGTTGACGTTTATAGACAAGCAGATTTTTACAGAATAAAAGAAAAATTTCAAAAATCGAAATGTGATTCAATCATCAAAATGAACCGTTATGAAAGAAAATCAGATAATTGCAAAACTAGCATCCATAGAGAGAAAAGCAGCTGTTTATTGGTTAATGCATTTCTGAGAGCTTGTACGAAAAATGATTGTGAAAGTACTATAGACACTTCAGGTTATTCATTGGTAAATGTATCACAATTCCACGCAAAAAAAAGATTTGTTTGCCGAGGGGGCCCTTAAATAAACGACATATAAATATGAGTCCTTCAGCTAAACATACACAACAAAAGATGTTTTTCTACATATTAAATTATTCATAACGTGCCTGTTTGCAATATAACGAACATTAAAACTTAGGTAGACTGTATGACGTATAGTAATTTGATATTGTCTGCGTGGCCATTTAACAGTAACTAACGGCAATATAATATTAGAATTGTTATTCCAGCTCTTAACGTAACTGCTAGCACGAACACAACTATGTTTCATGTACTATACTATATTTTTTACATTTATGTTAAATGCTTTCTTGGTAAATAAATACGCTCTCAATTCATGACAGAATAAAGCATACATATTTGTGGTGGTGGTGGGCGGGGGTTGGGGGCGTATTCTCCCACTTTTAAAAAATAATAGGTTTTCTCGAACAGATCTAATTTGGAAATTTTGCTTTTTAACGACTGACTTCCCTTTAAACCTTGCCGAAATCCTTACACGTATGCACTGAGCAAGAACACTTGAAAAATTTGCCGGCTGTATTCCTCATTTTTTCATCGCCACATCCCCAACGTAGGATTTCAGATTTTCTACTAGGATTTCGCTTAAGTTTGTTTAGGATCCTAACAGAATCTTAGAAAATTCTATGACTTTCGGGTATACCTGACTTCATTAGGATTCTGTAGGCTTTTGTTAGGATCTTAAGAAATTAAAGCGAAATCCTAGTGGGCTATTGGTAGGATATGCCTCGGATCCTGTCAGGGAATTTTACTAGGGAAGTGTCAAAATATGGTGTATCATCATAGAAATACTAATATGGAAAAAAACTATTATCTTTATTTGCTCGAAACTGTTATTGTTAGATCAAACATCAAATTATAAAACAGATCACAAGATTTTCAAGTGTCGCTACACGTAACACATTGTTTTTATTTATATTCAACAAAAGACGCTAATGCTACACAATCCTAGACAAAAAGCGTAGTAATATTTGGACAAGGCGTAAATTGAAGAAGATATTCAACGCTCAAAATGTTACAAAACTAAACTCGAGTTCTTTATAAAGTTGTCGTGTTTGATACAGGTGCTTCTAATGCATTTTGTTAATGTTCAGCATTTAACCTTTTTTAACCGGTTTTGCATCTTTGTCATCATCATTGTCATCGTCTAAACGAAAACACGTATACTTTTAAACAGTGTTTATGTTAGAAGAATGTTAAGCACCCGAAGTCCTAGATCCATCAGTTTTAACATAGTCTGCTAAATATTTTTGAAGGGCTTTCGTGAAATCACACGAAATCCTTAAGAGTATAGAAGAGTTCGAGCATTCTTTAACATTACTAGAAATCTTTCGAGCCACTAAATCATATTTAGAATTTTTATAGTCGACGCTCTTTTTGAGAATATATACACGTATATTTGGTCATATATATATGGTTCCTATAGGAAACGATAGATAATTATAGTCTCGAAAATGTACGAATCACCTGATCCAAGTAAGCAGATATAAATTATGTGCCCGAATTATGATCGAAGTCACTTTTTCAACTCTTGATAATACTCAAATCATACCTACAAATATTATCTAGATAGATGCATTCCCTTTTGGATGAAACTCATCTTAATACAATCTAAATTACCAAATGTCAGTTTACCGAGTATATACAAAGATTCAACTAGTAATTTCTTTTTTACACTGTTGAACTATTTTTTTTCAATTACTTTTCCTTTTAAAAAAATTTTTTCTCACATGTATATATGTGATGTAGTAAGTTCAAATCAAAACAAAAAATGTGACATATTGACTAAAAAATTAATTATCCTCTTAAAAATTATACTTTATTTTCTCTTTTGGGTATGTTGAGTTCATTCTACTTCATAGGACTTATTGTCATTTTCGTTCTTCTGTGTGTACCTTTCTATTCACTCACTTCTATATTGACTTTCTATTTTATTTTCACTATAATTGTCTATTTCCTCTTCTGTACCGTTATTTCTCTCTTTTTTGTTTTTTAGAAAAGGTGATAAAGCGCAATATAATACACTCACTATACAGCGATATTGCTCTCTATATTGTTTTCTTTTCCGATTATTAATAAAGCCAGCATCAATTCTATGGTAGGAATGATGTACAATGCTACTTGATTCCATTGAATCCCACGAAAAATCTTGATCTCGAAAATAGCGTAGAATTATTACTTAGAATCATGTACCGTTCTAGTAGGATTTTTGGACGAAATGTTCTATCATTTGAATAGCGAATAATGAAAGGAAATGTTAAATACAGATTCAAAAATTAAGTAGTTCATCTCGTAAATATCCGGTGTTTTAAATACGGTGCTCTCTCTCTCTCCTACAGAGATGATATTTTTAATAATCTTATTAGAACAGTTAAATAAAAACTAAACCTTAACTGAAAATTATTATAATTTGACTTGGAATACGAATGGCTTGAAATAGTTTAAAGAACTTTTCACTTACCATCATCTTTTTTATCACCAGTTTTATCAACATCTAAATATATTAAAACAATAATCATAAAGATAGTTATTAATATTTAAAAGTGTTTTTCATTCTAACCATCATCATCATCATCGTCTAAAACAAAATATAATCAATTTTAAAACTATAATTTTGTGATTAGTAGAGAAAGAGTACTAACCTCCGTTGTTATCGTCTTCTAGAAACAAAAAAAAGCATGCATGCTATTATTGAAGATGGTTAAGATTTTTCACCAATAAGTATCTACCTTTTTTCGATGATCCACTACTGTCTTTGTCTTTTGAATTTTTGTAGTCATCGTCTAAACACAAACTATCACTTTAAAAAACTTAAATATATTCAAACAGAAATAAATCAATACAAACCATTATCATCTGCAAATTAAAACAAAAAATTTAAACTGATTTTAGATTAGAAATAGTATACATACCACCATCGTCTAAAAGTAAAAAAAAACAAACATGTCATTTGTAGAATAAAAAATATTTAATATAAATACTGCCTAATAAAGGTTAGCGTCACTACTCTCATAGTCAATAAAAAGGTGTTTTCTATAGAAAAAAAAGTATTAAGTATAGGAAATCCAAAATTTATTACCATAATAAGCTTTTTCTTTGTCTTTGTTTTTACTTTTTGTGTTTAATTTTCCGTTGTCTAATTTTTCGTTGTCATCATCTAAAATATTAATCAGTAATCGATAATCAATTTTTGAAGATTTTATTCACTGTTATCGGTATTCGAATGAAAATTTTCTACTGCTTATGTATGTAAGGAATAAAGAGTACGCGATTGTAGATAAGACTATTCATTATTCATACTCAAGAGAGCTTTGAGAGTCAACTATTATTTTCTATAGGTTGATCAAAAAGTATCAACAGTTTTAATTACTTCTTTTTTCTACAGTTTATTAAGAATATTTTATTAAATAAGGGTAAAGAGAATTCTTGACAGCTAACTACTCCGTTAAATATTTTACCATCATTGTCATGGTCCTTCTTCGAGCTTTTCAAACTTTTGTGTTTTGATGATTTGTTACCTCTGGCCTCTGTAATAAGAAACATTCATTTAGACAAAATAAAATTGTTCATAAGGTTATTTTACCTTTTTTTTCTTCTGGATCATCATCATCATCATCATCATCATCATCATTGTCATCATCATTTTCTTCGACGTCTAAAATAAGAATAGATTTAGTGTAAATGACTGATCTCAAGAAATTGTGCACAAACCACTATCATTTTTCAGCGATGCATCATCTGACGAGTCTTCAACCTCATTTTCATCTTCATCATTATCACGTCGTTTTCGTTGTTTAGATGCCTGAACAAGACAAATTGTATTCATTTCAAAAATAACATTTCTGTCTGAATTATAGAAGATTAGAACCAATTAAAAAAAGTTTCTAAGGTAAAAAACGATGTACGATGTTTTACGTTTGAAATTTAGTGAAACTATATCAACATAACAGATTATATTGCGAAAAAACTATTTAATTCTTCTATTATAATGCTTTCGAGATTATGAAAACTGGAATAGTAGCTATGATCAATGCTCAGCAAAAAAACTTATAAAAGCTACAATCGAGATCAATCTTAATGTTTAAGATTCATTCATTTAACGCTACACTTCTGATGCTATCACATGACGTAGTCAGCATAGTAGTCTCATTATATTTAAAAACTATTGCTGGTATCATTTGTACAATGCAATAGTTTTTAGACTTTTGCAGTAATTTGCCTCTCGAATTTACTTCAGTACAGTGTGTCGGTCATTCATATTCTTTTAGACTTATGGCTCAGAAAAATGTAGCTAAAGCTAATCATGGTGGATTACTGGACAAAGATGGTCTGTGCTATAACAATATAATTGTTGTTTCTTTCTCTATCTCTCACAAATGATAGGAAATTTCCATACAATTCTATTTAACATACCTCTTCATCTTCTTGGAGATTATTATTCTCATTCTTTTCATCTTGTGAATATTCTTCACGTTTATTTCGTGAATCATCATTACTACTAGTACTATCAATATTTAAATTTGCATTATCACTATCTAATGATTCTTTATTGCCATCATTCAACAAAGCCGCTTCACTGTTATCGATTGGCATAGAAATAACAATATGCTGACATACAAACAATGTCGATAATATTGATAAAAACAACAGCGATGTTAATTGTCGCATGATTGTTGTGTTAAAACAATAGACAGTTGATATGTGTGGCAGTTAAATAGTTTAAAAATCAAGTATATTATATATTTTAGATGCGTTTCCCTTTACATACATATATATATATGTAGATCGTTTTCGCACAAATATAATAAGGGCTACGATAGAAACTTACTTCTCACTAATTTAATTAATAAAAAAGAGCATAATGTATCATATCATTTGATGACAAGTCATTTTCAAAATGAAAAACAGAGTCTCACTTATAATTGTAACAATAGAATGTGAAACATCATACTAAACAATATGATTGAATTAGTCTGTTCATTTTAGAAAATAAAATCATAGTTATCCTTATAAAAAATAGTGTTTTATTTGAAAAAATTTACTTTATTCAAGTTATATAGATATACTGTATAAGTAAATGTGAATATAATGCTGAAAATATGCTTGATAAACATTACTTTTTGAAATTAATTTGAAACTCTTCATTGGTTCATATAATTGGCGCTCGTTCATATCTAAACTAAATTTATAGATGAGATGAAATATTGAGATTACTGTTAAATTCTTCGGCGCTGTGTGCTCACGTATAAAATTCAGAGATAGAACACATCAAAGATCGAATTCTGATCCAAAGTTGATATCTTGTATTAAACTTTGTAGTTAAGTGGCTGCAGCAGATCGGTCACCTAATCGAAAAACTGTTACTATTTTTCATTAGACACTCTAGACTACTCCATTAGTTTGAATACATTTCTCATTCATACTTGATGTTCAGTCTTTGTATTTTGTTGATCTGTAATTAGTTCAATAATTATCTAAATTTTTATTTTTACAAATAAAACAGTAAAATATACACAAAAACAAATTACTGAATTAAAATATCTCCTTCAGTTATGATACTTCCATTTTAGACATTTCTTTTTTTGATGCTAATCGTTTTAGTACATCATAGTTAATTTTTGATGATCGTTTATCAGTGGCTGTTTTTTCAGCTTCTAATGCTGCAATTGCTGCTGCCGCAGCTCCCGCTGGCGTCATAGAATTATATCCGGCTATTTGTTGATTATCTACCATTGTTGATGTCGTTTTATGATCATTTGTTGTTTTCTTTTTGCGTTTTTTCTTGTGACTCAGTCCACCTAACGCAGAATTTTGTTTTTGTTCTAATAATTCTTTGTTACGTTCACGTCGTTTTTCTTCGAGAAACCAATTTTTATTTTCTCGTAACCATGATTTTAGTTTCAGTTTTGTTTCATCACGAGTTAATATCATATCATCAATTTCACTATCATCAATGCCAGTGATATCAAGTTCATCTTGTGTTAAATCAATTGATGGTTGCCATTCGGGAAAATCAAGAACAACATCACAATTGGCGTTTGTTGTCACTGGAGTTTTAGGAGCACTACTAATATCAATTGTTGATTCACAATTCGGTTGAGATGAAGAATTATCTAAAAAATAAAAAGTAAAAATATAGACATAGACTCGAGAACTATGAACAGACAATTCACACTCTATAGAACTTTTGAACATAATAAAATAAATAAAAAACAAAATTGTTTAGACATACCAATTCCAAGCGTTTCTAACGTTGGTCGTAATAATTTGAACAGATCTTTATTGTTATTATCTTCTGTTTCAACTGTGGTGGTATCTTCTCCATCAATCTTTTTTTCTTCATCATCTTTCAATAGTAATAAAATCAATTTTGTTTGTTCTTGTTCTAAATAATCTTGTGCCCATTTACTATCATTTTCATTTAATGGTATATCTGCTACTTCTTCTAATGTCTCATCTGCAAGTTGATCTTGTTCATCTTCTTCGTTTATACTAGAAGTATCTTTTCGTTTTCTTCCACGCAGTTTACTATTACTTAACACTTTTTTTATTAAATCATCTTCTTCCGTCATTAGTACAGTTTTTTCTAATTCTTGAAATTTTGAAAATTTGGCTAGCCATCCTCTTGGTTTACGTAATTTTTCTAATTGTTCATCAATTTCTTTTTGTGTTTCAATAATTTCTTTTTCAATCATCTCAATATTAATCATTTCGTCTTGTTGTGTTAATTTTGTTGTTTTTTTGGATTTTACAAACGCTGGCGGATCTAATACAAAAGAGTAGAAAATTTGTATAAAAAAACAAAATAAATGTATCCATTATCATTTACCTTGTTCTTCTTCAAGTTCAATTGTTTGAAATTCATCAATGCTCAATTGTGCTGTTGGTGTATTTTCAAATTCCTGTAAACGTCTCATAATGGTAGCTTTTGATATTTTAACAACATCAACGATTTCTTGTATTGTACGATTAAAATTATGCATACGAGCAGCAAATAACAATGCCGAACCACAGAGACCCGAAGAACGTCGACCAATCGCTAACCAATCACGTTTCATACGTTGAACAATTCGTGAAGCAGTATTAGATACAGCATTTGTTTTATCACCAAAATCTAATTTAGCAGCATAACGTGGTATCAATAATGATGGATCCGTATGTGGAACATTAATACATAATTCACGTGCTAAACGCATATAAATACGTCCTAAGACACTAATATCAGCTTCAACTAAATCACAAAAATCAAGTAGTATATGTTGTGTACCTAGAAAATAATAAATATATAAGACATAAAATGCAGAAGAATGAATTGTAATTTACCTTCTGTACGACAAATTATATAAAGACAGCTAGCTAATAAATGACTTGATTTATTCCCTTTTGATAATCCACGATCCAATGCCATTTTATAAATCTAAAATAATATATTATTAGTCAAATATCAATAATAGAAAATTTAAATTATATTTTTGTACTTTGAATGCTGCATCTGTACAATGTTGATTCATATGCATATTTGATGATATATCCATTAGACCACGTCTGGCTTTATGCAATGTTATTTGTCTTGATTCTCGAATATTTGCATAACCCATCATACCCGTACTTGCTGCTCGTACATCATCACTTCCTACCCAACTGCCAATAATGTGTAATCCACCACCAATATCTTGAACTTCAGTTTCATTAACAATTAATGAATCTTCAATAACTTCACCACATCGTGTACATACGGATACTCCTTGAGCACGATCTGTATCAATTTCAGAACAACCACATTTACAAACTTTACTTGACATGATATTCAATGTTCACTTATATTTCCAAATCATTAGAATGATAAAATTTATATCTAAAATACCACATAAAAAACAAAATGTACATGAAGAACTAATTTATACATATAGTAATATATCATTGTTGTGTCTATCGTTTAAACTTTTATTATTCTACTTTTTAGATACTTATTTAGTAATTGTTTTTCACTATGTGTTAGTTGCTGTTTTCACAAACGTCTAACTCTATTTACATGCGAGAGTCATGCATTACATTCTATTTTCTATTTCAAGTAGATATTTTTCATGTTGTGCAATAACTTGAAAATAAACAGAACGATAAAAAAAATAGATTTTTACCTCGACGAACGAAAAATTGTTTTTTTGTTTTTTCTTTATTCTTTCAAATATGTCGATTACTGCATTGCAAATAATCTTTTTCTTATGTTTTTTTAGTCTAAAACTGCTGGCAGCTACCTGAAGGTGAAAGTTTCGAATGTTATTTAACGAAGCTTCGTCATAAGTAACATATAGACTTTCGTTTGCTTATCTTGATAAGTTCTTTTGGTTTTATTCTTCGCCACTAAGTCGTTAACAATTTTAACAAAAAATTCTATTTACAAAATGAAATAAACAGTTACAGGTTTTAGTCGTTGTCCACGTCATTGTTATAAACATCATGAACACCGTCATCATTTTCATTTTCCTCATCCATCTCTCTTGGTTCTTTAACATCATGATCTTCTCCATACTGAATAGATAGATCTATTTGCATTAATAAATCAGTTATAGAATCTTCTTCGCTTATGTCTAATGTATAAAATTTAACCAAACTGTAATCATAGATAACATTGGCTAATGCTTTATTCAAATGACGATATTTTGATAGAAAACTATTCTTAGGATTTGTTTGATGCGAGTCCTCTTCATTAGCTAATTGATACACATCCGGATCTGTATATCTTAAAAACAAAATCACCATTATTTTTTTTCTTAAACAGCTCATTTATCTTAAAGTCACTCACTTCTGTAGTTTCCTTTTATCTTTTTTTGATAAAAGATCAACTTTTGATAATACATGAATAAATGGAATTTCCAATTGTATCATAGATGATAGAGCTGTTAACATACCAGCTAAAAATTTTGATTGTTCAACACAAAATTGTGAATCGATAAGAAATACGCCACAGATATGAAAATTCCAGTTTTGTAATTGTTCTACTAAACGACGCATAACGGGAACATGAGTGTATAATTCAATCTGACCTAATAATACAATAGAACATAAATTGTTACTAATTTATATATAAAACACTCAAAACCATCTTGTACACTAAAAAGACTTGTACATTCTATGCTGTCAACACTATATTTATGATTGTGTTAAATTTGCTATCTTTCTTTCAAACTTACCTGGACAATCAAATAAAAAATAATCGTCTTCTTCGTCTCCTAATTGTCCCTGAAGCCATTCAAGATTTCGTTCAAAATATCTGAATAAAAAATATTACACCACTATTGTTATAGCGTTTACATGAGTTTCTTTCTTACTCCATACAGAATATGAGGCCACCATTTGGTCCAAAATGAAGTTCTTTATCGTCCATTGCATCGTCGAGTTCAATTAACTCACGAATATCTTAAAATGAAATATGTTGAATTTTCAAAAAAAAACACTCCATATTTGTGTGCATTTAGTTCTTAAACCTGCAAATACGGGATAGTCAAAATGTTCGGCAGCTGGATCTAAATTAACCACATTGATTGTTCTTCTAATGGCTTCACCATGTTTTACCATTGAACTACAATATGTTGATTTTCCACTGCCAGCTGGTCCCAATACAAGTTGTGCATAACGTGGCATTTCTTTATCTACAAAATTTCGAAAAAATAATTCTATTTCTAACTTTCTTACCGTCTAAACAGTAATTCTTCTATAGAATAATATAAGTTAAAAACAAGAATTTTGTTACAAAAAAGTAACAACGTTTATTATATTATAGAGAGATGAATTAATTATACACAAAAGTGTTAAGAAAAAACAAATTTTGTACAAAAAAAAACACAACGTACACACATTTTACGTACAAAATTGACTATGAGAAGAAAAAAAATGAGAGTCAAAAAATGAAAATTCGTAGAAAAAAAAACAAATGATTGCACAAGACATGATGAGAAAACCAATTGAAAAGAGTTATTTGTCAAATATTGTGAGCAAAAAGTTATGGAAGCCAAAAAAAAGCTATTGTATTGCTGAATACAGTCGAAAAATATTAGATCAGTAAAAGAACAAAAAGCTCGTGGTTCATAGCACCCGAAAATACAAAACACTTAATAAATAAGATAAATTTGTTTACCTGAGAAAAATTTATGAGCAACAAAAGAATACAAATACTGAGATCAAAATAGTACATAAAATAATTGAGTTTTTTAAAAGTTATATTGTTGTTTTGGAACAATAAAATCTCTAGCAACTAAATCGTGTAAATCTTTTTCAAATTCTTCTAATGCAATAGGATTAACGTCTGATGGTTCGTTTGACAAAAATTTCTAGAATAGAAAAAAACAATGATGCAATATTGATAGTCGACAATGATGCGAGTGTGAAACGCTTGTGCTATAGCAGAACATTTGCGAAGCCAAAAATGATTCTTAAATATTGCATTCTTCATACCTTTTCAGCCAAATTGTCGGTAGATTTTACACCGTCATATGTCTGTTTTATGTTTAAACCTTTTGAATAAGTAGCAAGGACCGCTCTATTTGGGCTACGAAATGGTGGTTTATCTAAATACAAAAGACGTCCATTAACATGATAATGACAAGTTGCCGTAATACATACTTTGAATATTTGGTTGAACATGGACTTGTTGTTTTTGAAGTAGTGGTGGAACGACTGGTGGAGCGACGGGCACAGTAAAACTTCTTAGATTTGGTTTTGATGATAATAATAATGTCCGCTGATTGTTTGCTACAATATCATTTGGAGTTACTTTATCGTAAACACCTCCAGTTGTCGATTGTGCCATTAAATGCGGATTATTATTTGTATTGCTATTATTACTACTTATGGATGGTGAATGTTGATAATCGGGAGATGATGGTGCTAAAAGAGAAGCACAAACAGAATAATTTGAAACATGCAGTCTAAATATTAGCACTAACCAGAGCCAATCGAGTGTTCATTTGGTCGAGCAATATATTGAACTTTTTGTTGAACAGGTCTTACGGTAAGCTGCTGCTGTTGAAGATGTTGGTGTAGTTGACGATCACCAAGTGTCGTATTCAGAAGCGTGTTAGGTATTGGAAAAGCAGCTGCCATGGCTATAAGAAAATAAAAGCATATAGAAATTTATGTCGAAGGAAAAAAATCATTTTTTCTAAAATATGAATGTGAGATGTTACATACGTAAATTTTTCATTGATTTTCGATCTTTTAATTGTGTTGTTTGATCAAATGGCATTGCTATTGGTCGTGAACGTTGATTAATCATTTTATTATTTGTTGTCGATACGTCAGCAGCACTACTAGAACCATCATTTGAGGGCACATATGAATGTCGTTGTTGTAAATCATTACCACCTGTGAGTGGTTGAATTTCATGTTGTTGATGAAGATGATGATGGTGACATCGCTGCATTGTTCCACTACTACACGCGCTTCCATCATAATGTCGTTCAATACTATTGTTTCTAATTGTTGTTCCTGAATTATGGTTATTATTTTCGTGTACCAAAGAATGATCAGCACCCGCCCATATATCTGTTGGTTTCATGACCGATGATGATGTATTCATATTTAGATTTGTGTTACTAGTAGCAGAAAAACGCCGTTGATTTTGTTTTGCTTTACTAGAACGTCGACGTCGACAACATAAACATAAAATAACACTAAATAGTATAGTACATAAAACAGCCACACCAGCAATAGCTATGATTGATAACCAAGGACTATTTGTTGATAATATAAAACCACGTTGCTCTTCTAAAACAAAAAATATTTGAAATTGGTTTGACAAATAGATGCATATTTTGTCAACCGTCTCCAAACTAACTTTGGATAATATGAACAACCATGTCATTTCCATTAGTGTTCATTTTGCAAGAAAAATGTCTACATTTGTTTTTTCTTTGTTCTCTCATTAATTTGGTTTTCTGTTTTCTCTCACCAAAGTAGCCTCACAGTAAAAATAAAATTCTACTTTTGGTTACGATAATTACCGCAGAAAAACGATACACTATTCACGTGAACCGCTTCTAATTTGTATAGCAGATGTACAACTGCTTTCTCAAAAAAAATAAATCATGGTACTAATTTTTTGTACTGAATTGTAACACAGAATTTAAAATATTATTCTTTAGTTTCAATAATTAAATGAAATTATTTCGAATAGTTAACAGGGTTACAAGAGCTTTAGACAGATAGGTACTGTATGTTGAGAATATTATGTTTTACATGAACTGCAAAATTATGAGAGACTGTAGAAAAAAACTTTCATCCTTCAAATTGAAAACGAAGCTATACATGAGTTGAAAAATTCAATCGAACTAAAAAGAAGAGTTAATTCCAAAATAAGACTTACTCGGATGTTTAACAGATTTATCAATGGCAATATCATCACTATTTGAGTAGGATCCATCAAATACTAAAATTGTAACAAAGCATAGTTCGTTATATGCTACAAAAATTTGAAGAGTAAATTTTACCTGTTGGTGTTTTGTATATTTTTGTTTCAGCTGAAGATTCATCATTAAATCGATTTGTTGAAACAATTTTGAATAGATATTTTGTATTTGGCTTCAGATTTGAAATAACCGTCTGTGTTACATCAGAATGTGTTGTTGTCTGCTGTTGTTGATTAGTGGTTTGATCAATATAATAAATAATATATGATCGTATGCCATCAGAATCATCGGGTGATTGCCATGTAAGTGTCACTTTCAATGGATTCGTTGCATCGTCGGTAATAATATTAAGTTGTTTTGGTGGATAAATCGCATTTGCATATTCGATTGATAAACTATAATCACTTTCTAAATCGTTATCCAGTGTTTTAACAGCAAATTCATAATTTGTTAATTGTTTCAAATTTTCAATTAAAAACGATTGTTCATTCGATGTTAACTCTTCTTGTTTTCCTATTTGACCTCTATGTAATTCATTTATACGAATTTTATAACGACGTGACGATGGTAAACGAGTCGATTTCGGATATTCTTCATCACTCCATTGTAATAGGACACTATTTTTTGAACGGGTTATCACATTTAATTCCAGCGGAGTTTTAGGCGCTTGACGATCGTCATCTAAATAAAAATAACATATTAAAAGATATAATTAACTATGTGTCTTCGAAATTTTCTATAAATTAAAACGAAAATCTAACATTCTTTTTTCTTGGTAACTGAAATTAATCGCACAGTTTTTGAGTTGTATACAATCTTACCTTCCGGAGGCATTTGAAAATCATAAAATTGTGTATCTAAAACAACATCACCGTTCTCAGTAATTGGTGTCATTGAAAATATATATTTCTTATTAGCTTCTAAATAAAACATAGAGAAAAATGAATTCATTTCATCAAACATTATTGTGATCTTAGTGTTCTTACCTAATTTATCGATGGTGACTGTCGTTTGACTGATGGAGATAGTGAGTGTATGTTGATATGGATCATAAACACCATATTGTATACGATATTTTTTTATTGTTGGGTCTTTAATTGTTGGTGGATGTAATGTTAAGATAATTGAATGACTCGTTGCATTCATTTCTATTTTTGGTAGTCGATCTCGAATATAATCACTATTTAATGAATCACTACGACTCGATACAAGATGACCTCGCTGAACATCAGCGGAAGAACGACGATCATTGTTTGACACTGCAGATACCGTTATGTTATCGACCAAGATAACTGACATAAACATATAGACAAGAACGATGATAAGATGGTAAATAATAACATTTTTAAAATCACATAAATCCATTCAGTCATACAGATTTATGTCTGTAGGCAAGCATTTAGAAAATGCTCTTTTATTTGTCTATAAAAACAAACAACGCTCATAATAAATATCATTCTAATAAATTTTTATTTTTACTATAGTATAGCTTAGTCATGCTGATGCTACTGGATTTGTACTATCTCGTATTTTAAAGTCTCATTCACAAAGTTCAAAGATCTGTTATAGTTTATACACTTGTCTGCAGTACATCAGAGATAACTAAGAGAAAAACAAAGTGAATTACTTCTCGTAGCGTTTGATAAAATAAAAACAATAAGCTGAAAAAAAAAGAAACAATAAGAAAAGGACAATTTGAAAAAAACACATTTTTTTACAATGTTTTTTATTCCCACATCAAAAGTACAGTATGTTTTACATCTCTCTTGTTTAACTAGTTTCATAAAACATGAAAAAAAAAACAAATTTGCCTAAGTCAACCGTTTTTCTGATAACTAGTTTATTCTTTTTCGGCAATTCTTGTTAAATGTTGTTCAACTTCATTTTCCGGTAATACTCTAAAAGTACATCAAAAATTCATTTATATATTATTTTTATTCTATGTAAAATATTAGATACCTAAACTTAATATTTTCATTTGTAACAACTGCGATTTCAATTTCACTTGGTTTCAAATCTGTTGACAAAACACTAGCTAACGTTGAGATGGCCAACTATAATAGAAGATATATATGTTTATCTTGAGATAGAAGAGTAATGATATTATTTACTTCAATAGCATCCTCATATGGCAGATCACTTTTCTTTTTAATACGTTTTTCTAAAAAGTTATTCGCTTCTGTTTGTTTTACACCGGCACTTGTTGCTTTGAAACCACAAAAATAACCAGCTGGATCGGTTTTATACAATAATGGACCTTTTTCATCGTCAATACCAAACAAAATCATACCTAAACAACGATTCTTGAAATTTTAAATCTTTTTAGCAGGAGCAAAAGATACGCATTTCTTTCAATAGTTTTCAACGAATTCTTAATTTATAGAGAGAAACAATCAACATTAAACAGAGATTTCTAGTTGTGCATCACAAATAAATACTTACTACAACCAAGTGGTCTCATTTCTGCTTCTTGAGTATAAACTTGACTAATGTCGGCAATACGACGACACAAAGCATCAACTGGCGTATCATAACCATATTTATATTTCCAACTTGCTGCTTCATAGCGTGCGCGTTGTACTTGCCACCTTGAATCAGCTATAAAAAAATGAATTATGTATGATCTTCGATGAAGTTGCGTGTCATTATCATCCAGGCTTACCAAGCATTCCTGTCATTACACAACCGATTGTCGGTGTAATAGCATGTAAATGTGTAACTGTTGATGGATCAAGTAATTTATCCTTAAAGGAGAAAACAATTGTTTTCTTTACTGAAATTACAAAAATTTAAAGCGTGACTTACAGGAATTTTTTTCTGTGCAATTGCAATAACACAATCAGTACCACGAACAGCAACAGATGTCAAACCACCTTGGTTAATCGCTTTAAATGCATATTCTAAAGCAAACAAAAAGGCTCAATTTTCTGTGAAAAAGATTGTTTCATATTACTTACCAACTTGATACAGGCGACCTTCAGGTGAAAAAATTGTTATATCACGATCAAAACCAGCACTTGCGGTGCGACTCATTTTCTTGCTATTTTTTTAACTCTGAAATAATAACAAAATGGAAGTTATAAAATAATCTTAATGTACTACGAAGACGACCGATCTAGTAATGTTTGTTCTCAATAATATAAAATGTTGAGATTGAAAGAATTATAGTAACAAATAAACAAACAAAACTGTACAGTTATACTATAACAACGAAAAGAAATAGTTGGTATTCATAACAAATCTTCCGTATCATTATAATTTACAAGTTGTCGATTTACAATGTTCGATGCGGTTGATTTTTCTAAATTCTCTGTCGGCATTGAATTAGTTAAAGTGACTTTTATTTGCACACCATTTACATGTTTATCATTCATCAGATGTGCAGCTTTTTCAGCTTGATCACTCGAGGAATAGAGAATTGTTGCCTGATGTTTTGTTATCAATTGCAAATCAATAATTTTGCCATAATGTGAAAATATGTTTGATAATGCATCAGATAATAATTGTTGTTGATGGTTAATACATTGAATATGAATTGTACGATCTTTAGGATCAGTTGAAGAGAATTTTGGTGTTGTGCTACTCGCCGTGACAAATGGATTTGTTGAATAGTTTGTATTTGGTGACGGAGCGGATGGCGTCAAACGATTTTTCTTGTTTGATTTCTCATTTGATGACGAAGTTGATGATGATAGTGTTGATGCGCGTTTGAAACCTTGATCTTTAGTTTGTGATTGAACTTTGATAATACCGCTTTGTACAAGCTTTTTAGCTGCTTCTTTAGCTTGTTCAGGATTTTTCAAAGAGCTTCCACTACCGCCAGTCCCACCAGTGGTCGTTTGACTGAACTCATCTTCTTCATTTTTTGTCAAATTACTTCCACTACGTTTTCCTGATTTATGATGAGATAACTCTTTCAGACGCTTCTTGTAATCGTTGAATTCGTTGACAAGTAGTTCTTCACTTGAAGTTAAGGCAGACGGAAGAATAAATTTACCCAATACAGACATCTGATAAAGAAATTTAATTACTAATAAAATTAAATAAATAAAAAGAATATTTTGTCGCTATTCACACATAGAAAGAGTATATAGTTATTAAAAGTTCTTGGAAACAGTTTGAAACTGTATTGAAAAGTGTTTTTTACGAAATTTGAACTAGCCTAGATGGTGACAATAGTGTAATTAATTTTCTAAGCTTTGAAGCAGGAAAAAAATACAACTATCAGAAATACTTCTTCAGTATAATTCTGTACATTTTTGTGTTGATAATGACCGTTACTTGTCGCAAAATTTCACAGAAAATTATAATTAAAATAAAAAGATGAACTCGAAAATAACTGCAGTTAATACGTCAGAATTGAACTATCAGGAAATTCTGATGAAATGGCATAAATTCATATATTAGTAAATATCAGAGAGTTAGCTAAGCCTTTCCTAATATATCATATATATCATACATATGTTGTATGTAAATGATTTTGATCGACCTGATGATTCAGCGATAATTTCGACCAATCAAACGAGGTTCTCTGTGTGCAGTGCCATCTATAAGAACATCATTATCTCATATTATACAACTCAGACACCTTTTCGTACTTCTGTGTAATATTTCAGACATTAAATACATACATCTTATTATAGATAGCCTGTATCATCATTTGTTTCTGGGTAACTCTTTAGTTTCATTCCATCTATGGAAGTTATCACAAAAAGAAAGAACAAGTTTTTCCAACTTTTTTTATATAAATAAAATAAAATATATATGACAATTCTACTGAAAATGGGTGATACTGACGTTGATCCGGCTATTATCAAACGTACCCAAGACATGTTAGGGCAAATTATAAATGCACCTGCTTTAACGAATAAATTACTTAATCGACCTCCAGTTCAATTTCTTCAAGATATCGTCAAATCGGTAAGACCAACCACTCATCAATCAGTAACCCTCAGGAAAAGTACTGTTATAACTGCTGTCAAAATAGGTTACCAACAAAATTAAGGCTGTGTGGTTTTATCATCGTCGTGCTTGTTTATCTAGGTAATAAAAAACACCAGATTTTTAAACGGTTTATATACAGAGGAAGAACTCTCGTCTGGCTATCTCAAAGAGGGACGCGAAAATAAAACATTATTTATGAAAAAACTGGTCACAGCTGTGTGTAAGTATAAAATTTCAAATACCACTAAAAATTCATTTCTCTTTTTACTAGCCATAGCTATCAGTGAACCTCCCGTAGTTCGTGTTTCAAAGATTCTTAGTGGACACGAAGCAGACAAGACAAATTTACTTTTACAAGCGTTAGCCAGAGCAGTGACTGCTCGAGTATGTTTAGTAGATCAGTCAAAGACGGTTTAGAGCTAAAGTATAATAGTTTTTTTTCTTAGGTTGACAATGAGGACGTTGTAAAACGTGCATTGCACAGTATGGAAGAGAATACAGATGATAAAAAATCCGAAAACTCTCGGCGCAATGAACAAGAGAGCGAACTGGACAAAAGTCGCGAACATGATCGAGAACAGAAGAAAACATCTGATAAAGAACGTAAAAATGATCGTTCTCAAGAACAACAAGATGGAAGACGTGATACAAGTGATCGAATACATAGTTCAAAGGGTGAACGTCGACATAAATCGTCTGAAAAAGAAGCTGAACATTCTTCAGAACAAAAATCATCAAAAGAGACTCGTGCTGAACAATCGAGAAGAAACGGTGAACGTGATCGAGATGAATCTAAGCGAGAAACTACCAGAGTAAATTACAGGTTTTTTTTTGGTACATTTACAATATTTTCATGTCCTTTTACAGGACAATGAGAATGATAGCAACCAACAACGGCAAAATCGTGTCGGAGACCAAAATACTCAACGCCCTGTCGCTCAAGATGATGATGAGAGCAAAAGAGTATGTCTTGCTTTACCAATAATGACGTATTTACTACAGTATTAGAAAAAATTAAAGGAACGATTTATTTTTAATTTTTCTGCTTGATCGCACTAAAGAAAACATTTTTGGGTAAGACATCTCCGTGCTTTCCAAGACATTTTTTTCATTCGACTCACAAAGGACCCCGAGGGTATACTTTTGTTATTTTTCCTATTGATTTTGCTGGTTTTAATGATCTGCGGTCGTTCATTGATGGATTATAGTTTATGGAAAATGTTACGAAAAGCTCGAAGACGTCTTCGTTTGTCCGAAAATGTTTGCACGATACGACTAAGGTGTTTCCTAGAGTATTTTGCGAATTTACGCCATTTAGGTTTTGTGGCTGACGTCGTTAGGTTTTTCAGAAACCCAGTTGTCAAGAATTTCGATAGAAAATTTATACACGCCGCTCTTGATTACACACTCTTTTAGCTATTCATATCGTTTTTTGAATCTATTCTAACTATTATGGATGAGCAGAAAAATTAAGAACAAATAAAAGTATAAAAAAATACAATAAAAACATACTCCATAATTTTTTCTATTATTATATACGCTAAATATGGAATTTTTTTAAGAACGAAGATAATTCTGGTCGTCATCAAACAAGACTACCTTCAGCTAAAGGTTCACGAAAACCACAAGGTGATTTATTTTATTTCCAGTAGTGGTTTTACTGAAGATAAAATACTTTTGAACAGGTTTTCTCTATTCTTGACTCAAACGTGCATTTGAACTCCTAGCTACAGTGGATACAAACGAAGATGTTCATATCAAATCAACACAATCAATTTCAAATGAGAAAACAACCACAGAAAAAGTTATCGAAGAGTATGTTGGAAAAAAAAAACTTGAATTGGTCTGTTTAATATTTAATATGATATGCTTTTATAGACAATCAATGACGAGACCTAGTACTGCACGTGCAGCCATCAGTCGTAAATCAATGAAAACAAATGCATCAGATGAAATTGCTAGTGGATCAGGAAGGTAATTCAAATACGTATTAATAATTTTTTTTCTGTCCTTTTTCTCGTTTTATTATTGTATCATGTCTTTTTTTTAAAAAAATTATTGAAAAAAATAAAACGTTATTTAAATAACTAATTTCATTTGTTTTGATTAAGTTTATTTAAATACTTCTAGGGTGGTGGGTACTCAGCGTGGACAAGGAACATTGATCATTGAAACGAAAAATAACAACGATGATAACGATAATGACAATGATAATTTAGAAGATGAAAATTTTCTTATACAAGAAGAAAAGTCCACTATTGGTGATAGACTATCAAAATCGTTTGTACGTAATCTTTTAAAAAGAATATTATTGAGTTAATTATATTAACTATGTATTAAATAGAAGGGGGATGATGACGAAAAGAGAATTGACAAAGAAAATGATCAGCATGGTGCACTTGTGAAAAAAATGATTGAATCTAAACAACAATTGCAATATGGTAGTGAAATATCAACACAAAAAACTGATGTTGTATGCATTTCGTTTTCTTAATGATAAAAATAGATAATAATTACATTTTTTTGTATTATCAGAAAACAATCACACAAACTGACGCTCAACGAAGACGTGAACGTGAAAAAATTCAAAAAGATGTTGATAAACTTCAAGAAACAATACAATCATTAACGAAAAGGTTAATTAATGCTTAGAAATCAATGATTTATGATTAATTCAATAAGAAAAATCTATTATTCTTTTCTTTAGTATTGTACCATTAGGCAAAATGCTCGAGTATTTACAAGAAGATTATGAAATGATGGCAAAAGAATTAAAAACTCATACAGATGATTATAAAAAGACAATTGTTGAGCTTCGAAAAGAGAAATTGTAAGTTTAACAAATGTTCGCAATATGAATTTTTTTATTATTTTTAAAATCGTTTATAGTATTACTGAACAAAGTCTAGAGCCATTAAAAACAGCCATGCTTGATTTTGATGATCAGATAGCCGATATGAAAAGTCGAATTGTATTTATGAAAACAAAGATTATGACAAATGAGAAGAAAAATGCTGCAAGACTGTTGACTATTATTAGAAAACAAAAATGAATATGATATGTTTGCTTAATGTGAGAGAAGGAACTGTGCCTTATAATCAAGATAAAATGGAATACAATATTTTAAGGGTAAGTGATTTAAAAGAAAAAATAATGCGATTCTAAGTTTATTCTGTTTTACAAATTATTTTTGTACAGTATTATCTGTTAGTGTATATTTTATAGAGATTCTCTAGGGTTTGCTTATGAGATATTTATTTTTTTTCTCATTTTTATTTTCGTAAGGCGTTTTTTTTCTGTACGCAGTCAGTCATATCTATAAATGTGAATGGGAAATGTTTTTATTAAAAAAATATAAAAATTCTGATTATGATCAGTGAAGTTTAACATTAAAAAACAGAGAATAATTCTATATCCAAAAAGAATTTTACTTTCGAAGCAGGCCGATCTCAACAGAAGGTCGATTCTCGTCGATGATCATTAACTGTTGTGGAATATTCCGATTTGATAATTGAAATCACAATTTATCTGATGATTCTATTACAAAAGTTTAATGCAACTTAAAGTTTAATAAAACTCAACTAGAATCTTGTTATATATAAAAAGATGTAGAAAACAACATTTTAAATTTCTTGAAAGAAAACAATATGCCTACGTTCTACGAATTCATCAAGTATTACATTTAATTTGTTCTGGTATAGCTAGTTGGTCGAGGCTATTTTTCTTCATACGTAAAGTAATTGATTTAATCTAAGCAAAAGTGACCTAGTTAAAATATCTAGATGCTTTAACTGGTGTATCAGTCTATATTGTTTACTATTTCATTAACCACCAAGTTTAATCTTATGTAAATGTCAATTTGTGGGCAATGTTATCTAGTTTTATCGAGAGAAACGTTTGTCTGCATCTAAATACATCGGTCAATGAACTGACAACCAGATCATTGGACGATTTTTAATGCGTTTTCTATGCTCGAGAAATTTTTCTCTCTGTACAATACAAGCGGAAACAAATACATTCTAAAAACAAAAAGAATCTATTTTCTACGAATATAGATGGTCGAAGGTAGTGAACTGTAAAACCAAATTTACTGTTTCTAGTCTACATTCTATAAAAAATATTAGTCGCATAAGGTGGATGATCTAAGACGTCAAATTCGAACTAATTTTTTTTCCCTTGATTCATGGTAGTTTTCCTTTATAAATATCAGTTCCTACTTTCTGAAGCCAAACTGATTCATTTCGTATGTCAATCTGATTGCTATATTCAACATAAAATTTATTTATGCTACATGTTCTTTGTTATTGTGTAAGTACACATATAAAAACACAATGGAATAAGCATTTTCGATTATATTTAATGATCAGTTTTCTATTAGAACTTTCTCTTTTTCAATCTTGATTATAAATTAAAAATACTTGTACTCGTTGTGTTGTTACATCAGTTGGAAAGTTATAATCGTTCAATAATAGTAATCGGTGTATGGTGTTCCAATTTGAAAAAGAAAATAGTCTGATTCGTGCAACAAGCTAATTAGACAATCATTGTATAATTAGCTTGTTGTAGCTAGAAAGTTTCTAAATTCGTCCATTGAATCGTCACGTTTAACTACACAGTGATATTTTATCATACGTTTCTTCTGCTTATTATTTCAATATTTCATCTTTAACGGATTTTTAATAGACTAAAACGAAGAATATAACGATCATATTTTTAACTAGTTGACGAGCTGCAAAAGAACAAAATACAATAAGTAATAAACTGATTATTTGAAATTGCAGCTGTATCCATTGGAACTTTCAAATAAGTTTTAATTGGTTTAAACCAATTTCGAGATTCAAAGAAAAAAATTAAAAAATCTTTTTGTATTCAAAACTAATTTAAAATTTCGAGCAAAGTTGAAATAAAAATTACGAAATTAATTCATATTAATTAAAAAAAACAGAAAATAATCAAAACTAATTTTAGTATATTTTTTCACGAAAAAATTAATTTTTCTCACTATCAAATTATAAAAAGTCTCATATTAAATCGCTGAAAACTAATTTTTAATTCGGATTTTGTTTAAATTAATTCAAATTGATTTAAATTCATTAGAGAAAAACTAATTTCAATTAATTTCAAGATTTACACAACCAAAATAGGCATTTATTTCTCCTTTGAATGAGTTTTATGAAATTTTCAGATTGCCGTTAGATTCTTCTCAAAGGATTGCTTTGGGAAATAAACGAAGAAAGGTTCCCAAGTGCCTTTTTTCCTTGAAACATACTTTATTATGGACTGTTTTTGATGCTGATCACGAATCTGATATCCGTTCGTCCCCATACTGTCTTTCAGAACCTCTGTTCAAATTCGGTGGCTTCAGGAACCCATAGTGAACTTCTCGTCTGAACAAACTCTGATAGTGCCAGATTATAGAGAATATCAAATAACTCCCGTGGACAAGTTTTGCTTAGTTATATAAAAATTTCGGTGTTTTATACAGCCAAAATAAGGATCATTCAGATACTTTTTCCATACAAAACCTATAAGTCGATGAAAAGTTCACTAGGGGTTCCTGAAGACACCGAATTTGAATAGAGGTTCTGAAAGACCGTATGGGGATGAACGGATATCAGATTCGTGATCAGCATCAAAAACAGTGCATAGTGAAGTATGTTTCAAGGGAAATTTGAGGTAGCACTCGGGGACCTTTCCTCATTAGTCTTTAACTATGTCCAATATACTACTACATGGCCTGTCTGCAGGTAACACAATGACCAAAAATGGAAGTACTTTCCAGTGGCAGTTAAAGAGTTCTGATTTTCTCTAAATGTAGGTGACATTGATGAGTGTCCAATGGATAGTTTTTAGTTATAACGTAGGGCTTTTGAAATATCAGATCGAAATTTTAATCAAGAGTATGGTTGGTTGTTTATCTACAGATCAAAGTTATGGTAACGCGATGACATCCTTTCATTGCATTTGATAAGTTTTTTTAAGTCTACACTGCAAAGAAAACTTATCTAAAGGATAAATCTAGCTCATTTATACTTGTACCTATGATGTGTGAAACAAACTTGAATGAGTGTGTCATCAGTACAAATTTACAAATAGCTGCAAAGAAAACTTTGGTGATACATGGGGTACCGTTAGCTGCACAAACCGTACAAGGATTTTGGATTTTTTTCTTAAATCTTGTCAAAAAATGTAAACTGATTTATTTCATATGAATTTGAATCAATTCGACCTCTCAAATTATTGTAAATTAAACTTTGAACATTTTTTCTGTTAGAAATGACTTAAAGCTTAATTGAAAGTTCCAATGGGTAGCTACAATGCACTAAATATAACGCGTAATTTATGATTCTCAGTCAGCGACACGTTGCTACTGTTATTCATTACATTAATTTTCAACTTTTGCACCATAACACGTGCGTTAGTTATTTATATATGTTTTTTGTGTGGAACAATATGTCGCTTTCTATAACAAAAAAACAAAAACTGAGAAAGTGAGATATTGGGAGTAAAACAACAAAATAATAACAATATAATATGTTTTTTCACTGTTCAAGCGCAAACCAAAAAAAATCTTTACAAAAAAAACGTGTCAAAAAAAGTGACGTGGAAAAATATATAACTGCACATACTTGAGAATTGTATAAAGAAAAGAAAGTTTAGAAACCTATCAAATACGGAAATATCTTTCTTTGCACAAAATATATCATTGTTCGTATCTGATTTGAAAGCAGATATAACACAGTCATGGAAAGAAATCAAAAGGAGATAATACGTGCAAAAAGAGAGATATTTACTTATTTTTTAGGTTTATAACGTACGACTGATCAGACACAAATCGAGATGAAAGAAATAACAAAATTAAATGGATGTTATGCAAAGTCTCTTTCGTTTGCTAATAGCATGGGTTGTCGTTGTTCATTATGATCCAATAATAAGGAATGTCCTTTTGACTGTTGTTGATCTTGTAATTGTTTATTATTCCCATTTGATGAGTCGCGACGTGTTGGTATTGGACGGTAAACATTGGAATATACTTGTGATAAAATATCATCTAAAGAAATAACAATCAAACTTATCTATAATTGGATAATACTCAAAATCTTACTCAAATATGAGTCGAAATGCCCTGATAAAGATTAAAACTTAGTACAAAAATATTCTATCTCCATAGAAATTATTAACAAAAGTAATATCACAATACTTCTTGATAGTATCCTTCTTTCGTCAGTTATATGTATACCTCAAGTGCCTTCGGAGACTTAGTAAATTCATCTTTGTTCTAGGCAGAAGTGTTTCTAAATATCTCACATATTTTTCTACAAAGAAAATAAACTCATAAAACTAAATCTAGTTTTTAGAAACAAACTTAATAAATCATACCATTTGCTGTTCCATTACATGTTGGCAAAGTTGATGGAGATTTCAAATAATTAATAAGTACTAAACCACATGTTGTAACTCCAAATCCGATTAAACATCCGAATATATCAATAATTGATATAAGTCTCCATTCTTTAAATAATATACCTGATGTTATCAATACACATGTAGTAAACAAAACATAATAAACTGTAGTCACAATAGGTGTAGGAAATAAATCTAATGCTTTATTTAAATAATTCATTTGAATAATAATACATACGATAATGATAAATGCACAAAATAGAGTTAACCATTGAGAATATGTATGATTATTTGTTAAATATTCTTTACAACCTACTGCTAAACCTTTACATCCAGTAACAGTAAATGCACCAAGTAATGAACAAATTAAAATATAAATGAGAACATTATTTTGACCAGAACGTGGTCCATAATAAATAATTAAACACGATGTACTAACAATTGTAATTAATGTAAATAAAATAAATTCTAAAATACAACAAAAATAAATTCTTATTTTAAATTTTCATCATTAAAAAATTTGTCTAAATTATACCTGTTGCATGAATTTTCTTTGAAAATTCTAACAATGAATTGACTTCACTTTCTTTTGGCGCATGTATAACAATAATTATTGAACCAAATACTGTTAAAAGACAACCAATTTTACTTAAACCACTTAATTTTTCTCCAAGATATCGAACAGCTAACAGAGCACTAAAAAAAAATAAAAATAATTCATTAGTAGCTATAGAACTCAAGACATTATCAAATTTACCTAACTAAAACACTCAATGCGCCTAATGGAGTGACCATTGATGCTGGAGCAAAACCATATGCAGCAAAATTACATAGTTCACCTATTCCCATTGTAATTAATCCACCCCACCAGATCCATTCTCTTAAATATTGATATCCTCCTTGTCCTATAATAGAAAATAAATATATTGCCAATGATAATTTCAACTATTGTTAAAACTGACCTGCTCTTATTCCATTATAAAAACTTAGTTTAAGAAGACCTTTCTTCTTCAATATAAAACTACTTCCAATAAATACGCTTGATAGTACTGCCAATGATATTCCAATATAAAAACTTGAATTAATTGTTAATCCATTTTTATTAGTTGCCGATGAATAATCGTTCGTAATACTGGCTAATACATTTTGAGCAGCATCCGCTTGTCGTTCTACGAAAAATGCTAAAAAGTAAACAAATAAATTTGAATATTTACGCTGTAATTAATAAAAGAACTCTTCTACTCTGCTACTATCAGAATGAAAGTAAAGAAACCAAATACTATCAACTTTAATAGATTCAAAAGTTAGCTACTATAAGGAGAAAGAGAGAAAGTTGGCTGCATAATTTCTTTCTTTAAATAAAAACTGAATGCCTCCATTCAACATATTTAGATTCAAGAAAAATCGTGTTACAAAAATAAAACCTAACAATATTAGTAATGATTTTTCATTAAATTTTACAAAATATTCGTATATTACTTTGATCAACCATTAATGATCGGTTGATTTAAGTCATGATAATGTTGATAAAAATAATATTTAATGATATTCATCTAAAAATAATGTATAGACAGTAATAATCGTACAACTTTTAAAAAGAGTCTATTTTCATTAAAGAAGCCTACTTTTTTTTCTTGAATAAATGAGTGCACTCCTACAAACTATGCTTACATCATTCTTTAGCATGCTGAATTTTTTTCTTTCAAAATCTACAGGTTCTTTTTGTTGTTTGAGTTGTCTCACCATAGTTAATTAGTCATTTTTGTTTCTGTTCTCTTTTTTTTCCGCGCTCATCAACATCATAATCTGAAGAAAAAGAATGATAAGACAAAACTAAAACAAAATTTTTTCTTTTTACATATATACGCAACATTGTAGAGAAAGAAAGAAAAAAGAAAAAAAAGATTTTTTCTGGTCAGCCTAAAGAACAGTAAAATTGAGAAAGAAATATATAGTAGTATAAAAATTTGTATTTCATAGGTAGAATGTTATTAATGCTCTCTCTAAAAGAAAAATTGAAGGCTTAGAGACAAATCAGACTTTGCTTTTATATGTTCAACGTCATTTCTAGAATAAAAAACAGCTTTTTTCTTTTTCAGTTACATTTCAGTTACATAAATTATAAATAAATAATAGCTGGTGCACATCTTGACACACAATACTTTTTTCTTGATAGTAAATCGTTCTAAATAATGCAAAATCATATGTTTCATGATACTCGAAGAAACCAGTTCATTACCTGATTTATCAAAATCCAAACTCAAAGCCATCTTTTGTTTAATCAAATGTTTCATTTATTCTTTACTTTATTATATCTTCATCGTTTACTAAATGTTTTTTTGTCTTGCTTGAATTTTTGTACTAGTTTTTCATAAAAAACTCAACAATGAAAAATAATTAGTATTTTAGAAATGCATTTAAATCATAAACATAAATGATTACATTATAGCCAACTTGAAATATGTTTTTCATAGATTTCTTGACTGTTTATTAGTTTTTGAATACGATGAGATTTTTTTTTCTCCAAGAGTGTTTGTCTTATCTCAGGTATTGTACAAAAAAAAACAAAAATTAAAATTCAGAAGACACAGTAAAAGTTCAAAACAGTTTTCCGACACCATCTTTAACATACAAATCTTGGCTTCAGAATCAACTAGCATGATTAAACTGGTTTATTTTAGCAAAAAGAGTATAACAAAGCAGCAAAAAGAAAAAGGTTAGACGGAAAAAGACACATACAATCACACACACACACACACACACATACAGAATTGCGCGCGCGCGCTACAAAAACAGTAGGAACAAAGAGAAAAAATATGTCAGATATAGTACGAAAGACAGGTTTATGTTCATAGTAAAAATATTTCATTAACAGAAACAACAACATACACAAATAAAAATTCTGAAACAAAGAGATCCGATGTAGAAAATTTTTTCTAATACAAAGGGTAAGTTCAGCACCATATTAACCACACGTCTAAAATACATTAGTAAATAAATAGATATCCGTCTTATTTCTTCAAAAATCGTGATACTTTTCCAAAACAGAAAAATAATTTGATTTCTGCTAACCATTAGGGGACAGTAACGAACATAGATATTAGTTAGAAAGATTATAGATGAAAAGTGCTGGATATTTGGATAATAGAAAAATAACAACAACAACAACAAACGACTAGTTAACATCGATAATATGATCTGGTGATAAATTTTTTTCATAACGTTGCCACATTTTCCAAAAGAGTTTTTCCAAACTTTTTGTATACAATGCTGTATCAAATAGTGGACTTGTTAAACGCCTCGACCACACTTTAGCACGTATAGATTTTAAATAATTACGATCATTTCCTAATTTTACAGCAATATTTTCATATTCATCATAGGTATTTGCTACTAATTCTGGACAACCTAATGTATATAATAATGATGCACCCACACGTGATGCCAATGTTTCTAATGGAAGTGATATCATTGGAGTACCTGAGGATTAAAAAAAAACAATGTAAGTTCTAAAAATCCAAAATAGATGTTATTTATTTACCAGCCCAAAGAACATCCATTCCTACGAGAAACAGAAAAGAAATAAAAACATTGAGAGTAAATAATATCTTACTGAAGGTACATACCTGTTGTATGACCATTACACAATGGAGTGTCAAGACATACATCGGCTAATTGTCCACGACGAACATGTTCCTCCTAGATAAAAACACGAATATGATAAGTCAACTAAGTACCTAGAGAAATGAACTTTAATTGTTCGGAAAAAAATTAACGATTGCATCTTCAGATCAACAATTTCAAAAGTCAATAAAGCACTGAAAGTTTTTTCATCTGGAGTGACCTGCTACCAAGTGGATTTCATTGCCCACGGTCAGATAAAGATATGATTATATTAAAAAAGAAAAGTAGCATAAAATTTTATTTATTATTGATAGTACTATGCATAATCTTCAAAACTCTAATCAACATACTTTTGGTGCAACATTTGAAAATATCAGTCTCGATGTATCAACACCACTTGCAAGCGTAAATTTAATTATGTTTTCTTCACCGGCAGCTGGAAAACGCAATAGCCAAAGAACACTGTTAGGTACTCGTTTGAGAATCTTTAAATATGTAAACATGTTAATAAATTAGATGTAAGTAAGAATATATTACATACATTACACCAACACCGCATTGTTTTAGGATCTATTTTGTACAATTGATTAAAATTACAATAAACGACAGCATCTTCTGGTAAACCATATTGAGTACGAGTTGTTAATAAAACTGTTTGAGGCACTTCTTCGCCTGTTGCTGCACGACCACTTGTCTAGAAAAAGATATGTCTTTAAAAAACGTATAATAGATTAGTGCTTATATATACTTGTAACGTTGTCGTTCCATTCTGTGCCACAATACCATTGATACTAACTTCACAATGTCCTTGCGCTAATAAATGGTGTACATCAGTCGTTAGTGGTAATTGAACAATTGGCGTTATGACTTCTTTCATGATGTGACCATCTTTAGGATTTGTTCCACCATCAGAAACTCGAATAGCCATTTTCTAAAAATAAAGAATAACTAAACCATAAAAACAATTCACGTTCAACGTTAAAATAATAGACATAATAGAAAAACTGAGCAATATCATTCATATAACGTATCTCAGAAACGTATCTGGTCAGCTTACCTTCACGTCACTTCTCTCCAATATTGGTTTTAAATCTGTTGCATTCACAATCGATCGATTATCAGCTCCATCTGACTTTTTATTTTTATCTTCGACTATCACTTTTTCTGTCATATGTACAAACATGTGTTTATGATCTCCAATGAAAAATGTGTAGGGCATATAAGCTAATTTTTCTGTATATTGTTCACTTAAACTCATTGGCGATGTAACATCGTCTGTAACAATGTAATCCATAAATGGTGCACCACTTGTATTCGGGTATCCTAACCACATGACTTGAATAGGAGCTGGTTTTAATGCAAACAGTTCATTTCTAGCACCTCTTGTATATCCGTTTAAATTTACTAAAATATTAATGCCATCCGAATAAATACGATCAGCAGCTTGCCCGTTGCATGTAACAGATGACAGATCAATAAAATGTTCAGCTTCCCGTTGAATTTTTGCCCGAAATGCGGTGCCATCATCTGGACTTAACGAATAACAAAATATTTCTGCTTTCGAACGATCATGTAAACCAGGGATACTTTGCATTAGATGGGCGGTTGGATGATTGCAAAAATCAGAGCTAACATAACCGATTCGCAATCGACCAGAGCTTGCTTTGAGATCTGTTGGGTATACGAACGATTTTTTATGTAACAATTGAATCTAAAGAGAACAAAAGAAAGAGTGAATATTGATAATTTCCTACTCACGAGGGAAGGATCCCAAGTGCTCCCTAGATTTTACGTCGAAACACACATAGGCATAGATTATCGACGATACTGATTCCGAATATCATGATCGGAGCGGCATACGGATTTGGGGAGACCCGGTTCCGTAGAAAATCCTTTCAGCTCAACATTTTTTTTCCTTCAATCAACTTTTTTATCTTTTTTGATTGTGGAGCATGTCAAGTTGTCGATGTATCCAAGTTTTTTCGTCTATCCCAGTTTTGGCCGAGTCATCATCTAATTACTTTGAAAATCCGTTGATGTCGCAATATTAAGATAAAAAAAAAGAAATTCAAATTTACAACAAGATCCAACAGATTTTTAGATCGAAAACATAATTTATAGCTAATCGATTATGCTGATTACGAATAGAATAATAAGAGATGTTCATGGATCCTTGGAGATCTAGTCAGATCTAAAAATCTATTGGATTTTGTATAAATTTGAATTTCTTTCGCATTATCTTAACACTGCGACACCAACGGATTTTCAAAGTAATTAGATGATAACTCGGCCAAAACTGGGATAGACGAAAAAACTTGGATACATCGACAACTTGACATGCTCCACAATCAAAAAAGATAAAAAAGTTGATTGAAGGAAAAAAAATGTTGAGCTGAAAAGGATTTTCTACGGAACCGGGTCTCCCCAAATCCGTATGCCGCTCCGATCATGATATTCGGAATCAGTATCGTCGATAATCTATGCTTATGTGTGTTTCAACGTAAAATCTAGGGAGCACTTGGGATCCTTCCCTCATCAGACTAGTATTTTGTATACTTACTCTTTCCAAGCAAAGCATAGCGTGCCGTGATGCTATACCCCGCCGCTGTTCAGATGTTAACGGATATAGCATACTATGATGTGGATGAACACTAGGCAATCGATTTTTATCCAACTGTTCTTGTACAATGGCTGCGATCTTCTTCAATCGTAAGTCATAATCTGTCCAATCACAGATAATCTAAATAAGAAACATTTTTCTTCAGGAGATAGATCCGTGAGCTTTGTTTGATGATCTTCTACCTGTAAACAATGTGCCAAATTACAATAAGCATCAGGAAAATCAGGTTTTAATTTCAATGCTGTTTTATAGGATTGTATTGCATCTGGTATATTTCCGGTATCTTTATGAATAGATGCTAAGTTACTATGTGCATCGGCAAATGCAGGATTGATATGGATTGCACGTGCATAACATTGTAATGCACTTTGTATATCACCAATTTCCTTCAATGTATTGCCCATATTAGAATAGGCATCAGCAAATGTTGGTTGTATACCTTCAAAGAAACACATGAATATTGTACATATTTAGTCACTCTTTAAAACATTCTTACTAATAGCGTTTTTGTAGTGTTGCAAAGCATCTTGTAAACGACCTTGTTGTTGTAATACTGATGCTAAATTTGAATGAGCTGCAGCAAATTCTGGTAATACATCAAGAGCACGTTTATATAATAAAATAGCATCTTCGACATGACCTTGTTCACGGCGAATATTAGCTAAATTATTTAATGAATCGGCATGAGTTGGACATAAATGTAATGCTGTATTATAACATTCTTCGGCATCAGATATCTAAATTAAACAAGATAGATTTAGTGGTTAGATGGGGAAGAACTCATCCAACAGCTGTCATCCAACAGCTGTCCACATAAAATGATGTGGCCAATGATCAGTTCAACTAGGTCGACTTATTCTAGAAACTTTAGCTGAACAGACTTTACAGATATAGTAAAGTGACAGAAAAATAGCGATATCGATATTATCAGCTATGTTCTTCTCATTCATACTAATTGTACAATTCAACTTATTCAGTTCGAGATAAATTTTTATGAACTAAAGTAAAAATAACTTCGAGTTTCAAACAATTGAATCTAACACTAGTCACTGAGTTATTCACCTGATAGCTAAAGTCGCATATCCATTTCCAAGATATTAAATCGTAAAAAAAAACTCGATAGACTTTGATCGAGTCACTCTGTTCGTGAAACGAACCAAGTATACTTACTTTTCCTTGTACTTTCAATGCATTCGCTAGATTACAATAGGCATCAGGAAAATTCGGTTGAATTTCAATAGCACGCCTATATGTTTCAATTGCCAGATCAATAAATCTGAATAAAAGAAAAGCCATGTACAATAGATAAAATTCTGTCACCTAATACTGAACGACTGTTTTCAAACGTACCCTTGTTCATAATAAACACATGCTAAATTACCATGAATAATTGGATGATTTGGGGCTAAAATAAACATTTGTGTTGTAACAAAGGGTTAATGTATGGATAAAAAAGTAAAAATCATACCTAAGCTTAACGCACGTAAATATGCCATAACAGCTCTAAACGAAACAACACCTCATTTATCTGTCAAGATTATAACGCATAAATTAATATACCGATCAAAAATTCTCGCTTCTTTCAACACATTTCCCAAATTAATATGGGCATCAAGAAAATTAGGATCTAATGACACGGCCTCAAAATGAAATAAACGCGAAATGTAGAATAAATTAGAAAAAATACTAGTGTTTTACCTTTTCAAAATGATGTATAGCAAGCCACATTTCTCCCTGACAATTAAATATACATCCGAGATTACTCCATGCTACAGCAAAATTTGGCTGTGTTTCAATAGCTTTGAGATAACATGCCTGAAATACATGAAAGAATGTAAAGTAAAACAAATACATGATAAAAAAGACGCCAATGCATTATCTTTTCATTTTCTCATTTACTACGCCAACGCAAAAAAGGATAAGTTCAAGATCCATCCAGTTCGACTGTTTAATTACTCTACGCAAACGCATTTTTAATTTTATTAACTTTTGCACGCCAACGCTTATGTCGCTGTATATTTTCAACGAGCCAGATATATGTATAAACAAACTCTTCTTGATTTTTGTATGCACTTATTCTTTTTCTTACATAAATATTCGATGTCGATATATACATCCTAAAACAACGACGATTTTGGCGTGTGTTTCTACGAACGTTTAGGAAATTTATATAGGTCAGTATGCTTAACAATGTGTATGTATTATCATTCAAAATAGCACCTGCACCCTCTAAAACGAAGAGTACACAAAATGTTTTTAGAAATAGTATCAATAAGAAAAATTTAGAGTAATGGAAGGAGCTATTAACAAGCGTATGACTTAATGATCTGAAAATGTAATGTGAAACAAATTCATGAAAATGGGAATAATGGACAGAAGCATCAAAAGTGAAAGTAAAAATAGCGCACACGTTTTATTGAAACAATAGATTCTCACATACTTTTGCTTCTTCGAGATGCCCAAGTGCTTTCAGTAAATTTCCAAGATCATTGCGAACACCATACAAATCCTTAAAAGAAAACGTTGATGATAGAAAAAGATGAGATAGTTTGAGTGGTAGGAATCGATAGTTTTTTTTACTCGAAGTTTCATACCGGATTATATTGCAACGCTCTTGCATATGCATTTACAGCACCCTCCATATCTCCGTTAGCAATGAGTGCAGCTGAGTAATTAATATAGCCTAAAATACAACGGTAAATAAAAAACCTTTATTCGTAAAATAACAATTACATTTTACCATCAGTAAAATCTGGTTTGATCGATAATGCTTTCGTGTAATGTTCTAGTGCTTCTTTTAACATTCCTTTTTCTTTGTAGACATTGCCAAGATTTGAGTACGCCTCGGCCAAACGTGGATTCAATTTTGTTGCAAGCAAACTGAATGACATCGATCTGAAACAAACAAAAAAAATAAAGTGCATTGTCTTCAAAAGAAAAGAACAAGCTACGCCTACTGATCATATCGTCTCATTTGAAAATATATTGAACTTAATAGCAATAATAAACTTGTATTGTCTGGTTCTTGACGATAAAGTTGGAGACAATGTTGTTCAGCTCTTTCATAATTCCCATTTTGGTAATCACGATTCGCAAATTCAGCAAGAGCTTAAAACACAAAAAGCAAGAATTATTAGAGAAAAAATCAAAACAAAATGACAAATATACTTTGAAAATCATAGACGTTGCTAGAACTTCGTTGCTGTTGATGTTGATGTGAGGGATGTTGCGCCGCCTGACTTGTTGGTGACATCGGTACAGATGTTGTTGCAACGATATTCATTGAATTATTTTCTTGATATGGAAGACTGGCAGATTGTTTTATAACAGTTGCAATTGCGCCTAATTAGAAAAAAGTAAATCATTACGAAAAGCTTCTGAAGTTATCTATATATACCAAATGAATCATTCATCAAAATCAGCAATGCTGAGTTGTTCATATCAATAGACCATTATAAACAGATACAAGAAGTTATTAAGAAAAACAAAACAGTTTTTAATAAATTCACGGCACGTTCTAAAAACCTATAAGAACACTCAAGAGTATGAGTACAATTATAAAACGCTACAGTATGTTCAGTGAAATCCCTTCCACACAGCAAAACGAAGAGATATTAAACATCCTCGAACTAGCTAGTAAGTATTCGCTCTGGCCAGCCATCTCTGCTACCGGAGTGAAATTTCCTAACGATTTTTTTGCATTTTGTTTTTCTTATAATGTTTGTGTAACGAGACGCCTAGAGATCTAGAATATCACAGATTAAAGAGACAAGTGTGCTAAAGATTCTGAGATATTCCTACAGTCTACACATTCTTTCATTCAGAAACTATGAGAAAAGTACAAACACCTACTTTCCAAAACTTAACCGAAAAAGTAGGTGTTTGTATTTTTCTCATAGTTTCTGAATGAAAGAATGTGTA